TTGAATGTCTCCAGAGAAGGAGACTCCACCACCTCCCTGGGCAGCCTCTTCCAGGGCTCTGCCACCCTCACAGCAAAGAAGTTCCTCCTTGTGTTGAGGTGGAGCTTTTTCTATTCAAGTTTGTGCCCATTTCCTCTTGTCCTGTCCCTGGGCACCACTGAAAAAAAGACTGGCTCCATCCTCCTTCAACCCACCCTTTAGGTACTTTTAAGCATTAATAAGGTTTGTGTGTGGGGGGTGTGTGTGTATGGTTGGACCTTTCCAAGCATGAAGATGATTCTGGGATGGTGGGATTCTGGGATTGTGGGACAGGGAGCTGCTGGAGAGGGTCCAGCAGAGGGCTACAAAGATGATGAGGGGCCCGGAGCATCTCTCTTATGAAGAGAGGCTGAGGGACTTGGGGCTTTTTAGTCTGGAGAAGGCTGAGGGAGGATCTGATCAATGACTGGATGATCTCCAGGTGTCCCTTCCAACCCCGTGTGATTGTGGTAAGCAATAGGTGTAAGGACATCGCTCTCCTTCAGAGGGTGGATTTGGCAGAAGGAGGGCAACCAGAGAGAGACTCTGTCTCCCAGGCGAGCCCGGTGACCCCCAAACGCCTCTCCCCTCCTTTCCCTCCGGCTCCTGGGCGGCCGGGACTCCATTCCGCCGCTTGGGGAGAGCCCCGCTCCGCCGCTCGCCCGCCCTCCCTCATCCTCCTCCCGTTCCTCCGTGCTGCCCGCCCAGGGGCGTGCTCCGCGGGGCCGGGCCGGGCCGCTCCTCCGCCCGCTGCGGGTTGGGAACCGGCGCCGTTTTCCTTTCCGAAGCGGACCCCCCCCTTTTCCCTCCCTCCTTCCCTCCCTCCCTCCATCTCCCGCCCCGTCCAACCCAACCCAGGGCAGCGGGTTGCCGGCCTGAGGCTGCCCGCCCTTTTCCTCCCTCCCTCCTGAGGGATATTAATCGGATTTACCCGGCGAAAGGGGAGGAAAAAAAAAAAAAAAAAAGAGGGGGAAAAAAAAAAACCCGCAAGAGCCGCAAACGGTGCAGCCTTGCCGTAAACAATGAGATTGAAGGCGGCTGCTGCTGCTCTCCTGCCTTGAATACCGGAGCGGGATCCGCAGGAGGATGCCTGCGGCTGCTGCCGGGATTTAAAGCCTCCCTCGGGAAGAAGGGGCTGGATGGCGCTTCCATGGAGGCCGGGAGCGGGGCCGGAGCGGAGCTGCCGCCTCACCCCCCCGCTGCAGCCGCCCTGTGACTCCCGGAGCGGGGTGTGACAGGGGAGGATATATATTTTTTTCATTTTATTATTTTTATTTTTTTTTTCTTCGCCGGCTTGCAGTGCTTTGTGGCTCTGCATTTCCCATTCGCCGTTCCAGCAAACCCCCTCTCCGGGCACCCCCGGCGATGCCCGGGCTGGATGCTGCTGCCTGAAGGGAGGAGAGCGGCGGGGGGAGACATGTATCTTCTGGACAGCAACGAGCAGCCGCCGGCCGCCGCCGCCTCCTCCTCCTCCTCTTCTTCCTCCTCCTCATCTCCTCCGGAGAGGATGGAGCGGGGGACCCCCCAGAGGAAAACCGTCTACCGCATCTCCGTGACCATGGTGAAGAAGGAGCTGCTGGGGCCGCCGGAGAGCGGCCATCCCGCCCGGGAGCTGCGGCGGCGAGGGGGGAGCCGAGCGCCGGGTTCTTCCAGCCTCACCAGGGCCGGGCTGCTGCTGGTGGAGGAGGAGGAAGGCGAGGAGGAAGAAGAAGAAGGTGACGGCGAGGAGCGGGACCGAGTCCCCAGCCCCTGCGGCTTCCGCAACTTCAGGACCCTCAGCACCGGGCAGCTGGAGCTGGGCCGCCTCAAGGTGCCGCGGAGAACGGGGCAACCCTTCCCCCTCGGGCCGGCCCTCGGGGGGGCCTTCCCCGCAGCTTCCCCGCAGGGGAGCGGCGAGGAACCGGCGGCGGCCACCACCTGTGGCGGGGCTGAAGCCACAGCCTCCCCCTCGGAGGAGGATGATGAGGGTGAGGATGAGGATGGGGGCCCACCGTCAGGCCGCTCGGGTGGGGCCCGGCAGCAGGCGGGGGAGCGGGGGCAGAGCCCCTGGCGGCAGCCGGGCCTGCTGCGGCGGAGCTTCAGCTTCAGGCACTGGAGCAGCGGGGGTGAGGTGCCGCGGGTGCGGGCGCTGGGCCGGGTGAGGCGACACAGCAGCTCCGGTTGCCTCCCCGGGCCCCTACCACCACCACCGCAACCACCACCACCTCCGAACCAGGGGAGCGGGCCGCGGGGCTCTCCGCTCGCCCTCCTCCCTTCCCCGGAGAAGCGGAACACGCTGGACGTGGGCGAGGTGTTGAGCCAAGGGGACCCGCTCTCCCAGCTGGAGCGCTGGGAGCGGAGCAAGAGCAAGAACCGGACTCTGGATAACAGCGACCTGCAGCGGCTCTCCGAGAGGTTGGGCCGGGAAGGCCCCTCCGCCACCTTCTCCTCCTCCTCCTCCTCCTCTGCCGCCCACGAACACCGGCTGCTGCGCTTCTTCAGCGGCATCTTCGCCCGCAAGGACGGCTCCTCCGCCCTCTTCGGCAGCCCCCACGGCCGCTCCCCCCGCAGCAGCTTCTCCAGGTCCAGGGCTTATTTTAGCAGCTTGAGGAGAGCCACCGTGGACGTGCAGTCTAGCACCGAGAGCATCAACGGGTCCCCCCACAAAGGTGCCCTTCCTCGTCTCACCTTGGAGGGGGTGGGTGGTGGTGGGGGGGTGTTTGCTCCAAAGCTCTGAATGGGTGGTGGGATAAAACCCTAGCTCCTCTTTAGGAGAGGGAGATGCTGCGGTGGGATGTGTGATGGCTGCAGGCACTGGTGGGTATGGCATGTTTTAAAGCGTGCTCTAGTGGGTATAGCATGTTTTAAAGCGTGTGCTAGTGGGTATAGTATGTTTTAAAGCGTGTGCTGGTGGGTATGGCACGTTTTAAAACATGTGCTAGTGGGTATGGCACATTTTAAAATATGTGCTAGTGGATATGGCACATTTTAAAGCATATAATAGTGCTTGCTTCTCAGGTGTGTTGCCTGGCAGCTCTGATGGAAGCAGGTTAGGCTCTACGAACCCAAAAAAGTGCTCTCTGGGTTGGTTGATTATACGCCTCCCAGGGCAGGTGAGCGATGCAAGTGTGGCTCGTTTTAATTATGGAGTGGAAGCTGAACTCAGCTGCTGCTGTATATAGGTCACTGGGTGGCCCAGTGTTGCACAACACCGGGATTTTTCCCCTTTTGGAAAGACTTTTGTAATCCTAAAGATGGGTTACGGTGATCAGAAATACACCTGCTTGCTTTGGAGGAGGTAAATATTGATGATGTAGATGTATTGTAAACCCAAAATGTCTTAGAAACAGAAGAACTTAAGCAGAGTTTGATATCTTTTAAAAAAACACAGCACAAACTCAGAAGCTGTGCTCTTTGAATTATTTCTCTAGGTGTATACAAATCTTCAGCTAGCCAAAGTGTTGCTAATGCTAGATGGAAAGCAGACTGGGACGTTGTGGGGTTTGTGAATCCCTGGGATACAAGAAAAACTTGAAAATTAACCTTCCTGTGGGATGGAAGTCGGGAGCAGACTAGCTGCTTTCTGTGAGGATGTGGAAGGATCACAGTATTGTTTAACCAGAAATGCTGGTTGTGGAGTTTCATTCTAAGACATCCTGCTTTCTTCCCAGCTGCGCTTTTCAAACCTTTAACAGGTACCCGTGATGAAACATTTAACTAGTAATTATGGCAGACTTTGAGCACTAAGTGCTTATCAGAGTGGCAAACAATCTGTAAGTCGCTGCTTTCCTGAAAATACAGTTCTGCAGTTAGAAAGATTAAGCTTTCTGTAAGTCGTGGGTGCAGTGTGTTGGATGGTGTAGGGTTGGGACAGGGAATTTTATTGTGGGGAAGCAACAGCAGGAGGTGCTTGGTGGTGCTACCAGCCTGTTAGAGATCCAGAAGGCTTGCTGTGAGCGGGGTATGCCCGGAGTTTGAGGCACAAGGAGCAAAGCCAAATATTTAGACCTAGTAACTGAAGCCTGTAATATTTTATTGATGTAGAGGCATTCATGTGGGCTTATAATAATCTTGACGGAAATTGTGGTCTGACCTTGGTTAAAGTTTGAGGTAACCACAACAGAGAGTTACTTCATACAACTATTTATGCCTGTCCCGTGCCAATATGCTTCGACTGTTACTCTGTTTTGACAGCGTAGAGCCATATACTCAGAGCACAGTCCTTTCAGCCCGGGATAAGTTGAAGATTTCGGTTAATCAGTAACCATTGATACGCAGCATTAAGATGTTCCAGAGGAGCTTTTTTCTCTGTGTGCTAGTATCAAATTTAACTGGTGAAAATAAGCTCTGAGTCTTGTTTTCTAGAAAAAACAGGTTGCAGGCTGGCGTTATGGGTTAGCAGGTCTGGCATGCTCTGCCACTTTCTGCTTTTTTTTCCCTGGAGAAGTGCAGTTAAGGCTTTTGCTGTCAGAAAGTCTGTGCACGGTTTGAGCTCTTGCTTATTGGTGTCCTCCAGAAAGCTGAGTTGAAATGAACCCGTCTTTAATTTCTTCTATTATTTCATAGGAAGAAAAGTTTAATGAGATAATATGATGAGCGTGCCAAATATATTTTAAGACTGGGACGAGTGGCTGTTCAGCCAAGACTTGTCTCTTGCTTCTTTTAGTTGATATGAAATTATGCTCTTGGCAGTCCAGTGCCTAACAGGTTTTAGGGTAATGATGAAGGTCAAATCTTGTTTTTAATGTTTGGGTTTTTTTTTCCCCTCCCCGCTATGTAACCACTTGCAAAAAGAAGTTTTATTACTTTAAATTCGCTTTGCTCATGCCGTTGGTATTCTGTATGTTTGGTGCTGTACGTGAGTTATTTGACTTAGGCAGGCTTTGTATAGAAAGTGCAAAGGTCTGGAGAGAAAGTAGAAGTGTTAAACTCTGTACTTGTTGGCATTTTCAACTGGAAAGAATCACCCAGACGTCACAATATCTTCTTGTGTGCTATTTCTTGAAAGGCTGTTCCTAACTACCTTAGGTAATACACTTCTGAACAAGCTGAAGGTACTGAATTTTTAAAGCAAAAATGTAAAGAATACAACAGTAAAGCAACATCTGGTTTTGATGGTACTGTTGCTCATGTTGTAAAGTGGGTAAAGGTTGATTTTGGGGGGGAATTATTCTTCACAATGTCAGTAAATGATCTTTGGGCATCAAGCATTTTCCTTTTTCTACTTGCAAACCCCATTTACTGCTGCATCCTTGGCCTCAAGTTCCACCGAAATGACAATTCCTTCCCACCTAAGGTGAACTGCCCTTTTCCAGGTCACTTAAGTGCTGACTAAATTTAAAAAAGGTAGCTTGTAGGAAAGAAAAGAACAACAGCTGAAGGTGTGAGTAGGGAAGATGAAGTGGTGTGTCCGCCAGCCGGGCTGGTGCCCATCTTTTGGATATCATTCATGGTCTCTGCTTCTTTCCGAGGATTGCAATGTGTTAATGTAATGTTTTCTAGACTCTGGAGGTGATGTTAGAAATCCCCCTTCTTCATGGCTGGCTTTGTGTTAAAAACGTGTAGTTCTGTCCGTTTTGAAATAATAGTTATAAAATAGGTTAGTCCTGTGCCAGTGCTGCTGTTCTAATATTGGCGTATTTTTTCCATCCTAATATCAAATGATTAGTTTTGACGTTCACTTGCCCCTGATTTTAATAGTCTTATGTCATGGTGTTCAACCTGTAAATTAATTTATTTAAAGTGAGAGAAGTTTTTACATATTCACCATCACCACTCCCAAACGACAAAATAAAAGAAGCTTCCATCAACTTCAAGCCAGAGAAGCAAAAGAAGCTCCTTTGGCCTTAAAACTATTTCAGAGAACTTGTCAAGGAAAATGGTGTTTCTGGTTTGTTTTTTTCTCCCCCCCTTGAACTCTTCGTGACTCTTTCATAATGAGAGGAACTCTGGCTGGTCAGGAGGAGGATGGCTCTGGGACAGCAGGGTTTTAAAATAGTGGTTTCTTTTTCGGTGGTTCTCACTTGGGGCTTTTGTTTTGAGATAACTTTGTTTGAATAACCCTTCTTTAGGATGCGTTAAGCAGATATGTGAATCAAAATTGTAGGCTATCAAAAGGAGTTTCATTATAAACTGTGCTTTTGAGATATCTCCCCCCGCCAAGGTTTTTGAGGAATTAGTTTTAAGCTGTTATCTCAAATTCTCTGCAGTTTGTGGCGATGGGAAGTAGAAGCCAACTGACAAGTGATCTCTGTTGGAGGCCTCCAGTCTTTTCTTGCAGAGCTTCTCTGGAGAGAATTCTTGTTAGTTCTGTGTTGGCTCTTGCTTGTTACCCCAGTATTGTTGCCACCCTCTTACACCGCTGGTATTTCCAACCCCAGCCCAGTAAACTCTCTGTGCACTCACGTGGGTGAGCAGGCAAAGCTTTGAAGCCCATGAAATTTGGGCGATATGATGCAAATGTATTGGAACTAGTCCCGCATTGTTCTCCATCTTGGAGCTGAAGGTTTTGGATGACGTGCTGGTATAAGAATATTCTTTTTTTCAGCACTGGAGAGTCCCTTTCTTTAATGGATGAAAACTCTTCCAGGACTCTTCGAGCTGTTTCGGTTGTTGTGAGTGAGTGTTGTCTAGGCATTGTGATGAAAACAAAATCCAGCAGATAAATAGATTGCAATTGGGGTTAAGCATTTGTCAAGCGTTGTCTAAGAGGGTTTTTTCATTACAATTTATTGGGTAGGTCTTGTGTCGAGCAAAAGGAATGCCAGCTGCACTGATATAGCCAGATGATTAAGAACTGAACTGGTATTAAGGTCACTGGCTGAATTAGAGAATGAGATGGATTAATGTTTGCACAATATTGAAGTGTATGCCAGATGCTAGCAGTCACGGTCTTTGTTTTTCTGTTGAAATTGAAAAGGAACGTAGAATTTTAACATTGCTTTATGCCAACTTGACAGTTAAATACCTGATGGCAGCAGTGGGTAACTTTCTAGGGACAGGTCGCTGAAGACTTGCGTAAAAGGCATTCGTCACCATTCCCTCACAAACCAAGCTTTGGGAATTAAATTAACATACTTATTCATTTAGCAGTGATGTGCCTGTTGCTTGGTTTATCGCTGTAGGTAAAGATGTGTTGATCTAATGAAGCTCGTGTAGATGACCAAAACACCATTTGCACAAGGAAAAGAACATTTAAAAGAACATGGTGTTCTTGTTCCTCTCCTCCCGATCGCTTGCCTCGAATTTGAGGGTGCTCAGTGTGGCAAGGAGGATAGGGTTACTCTGGAACTGTTTCATAATCCTAGTGAGTCTCCAGTTAATGACCCAGCATTTGGTTTTTCAGAAGTGGAATCTGTATGTGGGGTAGCCCCTCAGCTTTTTTCAGAGACCAAAGGAAGGGTTTAACTTGCTTGTAGTCACTGCAAATAGAGGAAGACTTCAAACTTTCTGCTTTTTCTTCAAATCTTTGCTGCTTTAGCAGTTTTTTACTGGATGTAACGGTCTTTTTGCCCTAGAAAATGGAATTGCTTGTACCGGATGCTGAACCCTTACTCTGTTTAGTAGTTAAGCAGCCAGCACTTTTAATTGCTCCGTTTGACAAAATAATAATAATATCAAGGCAGTATGTTGCATGCTGCACTGTGTAAGCTTGGTAGTAGCACTGCTT